TAATAATCACGTATCAATCACATAATAATCACGTATGTGTCACGTATGAATCACGTAATAATATTCACATATGAATCATGTAATAATTATCACTTAATAATCACGTATGAATAACGTAATAATCACGTATGAATAAAGTAATAATCACGTATGAATCACGTATGAATCACAATAATCAAGGATGAATCACGTAATACACAAGTATAAATGACGTAATAATCACGTATGAAGCACGTAATAATCACATATCAATCACATAATAATCACAGATGAATCACGTATGAATAACGTAATAATCATGTACGAATAAAGTAATAATCACGTATCAATCACATAACAATCACGGATGAATCACGTAATAATCACGTATGAATGACGTAATAATCAAGTATGAATCACGTAATCATCACATATGAATCAAGTATTAATAACGTAATAATCAGGTATGATTGACGTAATAATCATGTATGAGTAACGTAATAATCACGTGTGAATCACGTAATACTCACGTAATGATCACATGCATCACGTGTGAATGACGTAATAATCACGTATGAATAACGTAATAATCACGTGTGAATGACGTAATAACCACGTAATGATCACATGAATCACGTGTGAATGACGTAATAATCACGTATGAATCCGCCAATATAAAGTAACTACGATGGCATTAAAATCCATATGGTGACCAAGAGCGATGTAAAAGACCTTTCTCAGTGGTCGTCAACAATTGGGTGGTTTCCAAGAGTGACCAGCGAGCTCGAACAAATTACCCCACGGATGAAAAAATAAGAATAGTTGTTTTTTTACCCTTTCTGGCAATTTAAAAGGAGTTGTGTTAGGATGCTGAAACACCAAATAGAAACCTTGTGAAAGGATTCATGTCTGCATTAACCACACACAGTACATAATTATAATATGGCTTTGTCTTTGGAACTGATTGCCCTGGTCTCACTACCGGTGTGCAAAGCGTCCACTGCATTTTTATTTTATTTACTTGCATTTCCTTGCTTCACCTTGGTGCCCTCTGACCCCGGGTCACACATGCCCCGGCCACTTCGTTTTGTCACCAGGAAGGCTTGTGCCACGCCCAATTTTTAAACCTTTAAAAACAGTTGCCTTCAATGGCCTTACCCCCCTTTTATTACACGCTTTCTATTATCTCACTCTGTGCGTTGTTGTTGTTGTTGTTGTTTCCGTTGTTGTTACTCTTTGGTTCTATTCGGTAAAGTCACGTAGGTAAAAAATAAAACAACAAAAATCACGACGTTTCGGCCACAACACAAGTGGCCTTCATCAGGTGAAGGGACCAGACTGTCTCGAGGACAGCGCTGGAGTGAACACAGCCAAGCTCAGACGGTGATCTTTAAGCTGTGTGAGAGGAATTAAGGTGCCTTGACAAAGGAATTAGCATAAAAATTAGCATTTAATTGGCGGACTTAGCATGATGAACGGTGTAGAGGGAGTGAACATGTGCAGGCCGGAGAGGATTCGTTGTTGTTGTTGTATCCTCAAATCTTGTAACTCAATTTTAACCCACTTCCCAATGTGGTATCGACTGCAAACTTGTTATACTTATGTCATACTGATGACAATACTATATACTACCATCAATAAAATATCTATATGTTAAAACAATCTTTTTTATATGTTATGTTTCGGCTTGGGTCTAATTGTCCACGGTAAACTCACGTTGGCTGTAAATCACCACGGTCCCTGACGTTGTGGCAAGCTTCAGGGCCACTTTCTGGAGTCGTGGAGTTCTTCCACTACTAGTCTGGTACATTTCATTAAAGCGTGTTTAAATTTTTAAAAAAAATATATATTACTTATTCCTCCTGATGATGATCGCTTGTGTTGTGATCGAAACGTCGTAGTTTTTGTTTTATTTACTTTGGTTTTTCTATCTACGTGACTTTACCGAAAGAACCAAAGGATATTAATTCCTGCAGTTACGAAAGTTTTAAGTCAAAAGTTACCAGCTAGTTTAGGATACCTAGCAAAAGGCAATCGGTCAGGTAGGGCCCCAATATTTGATTTGTCTGGCAGGGTCGTACCTAGGCTATTGCATATCACGGCTCCCCATTGCCTCATTACATAATTACAAAAGCGGTGTTGTTCTTTAAAACCAACTGTTCTAAACCTGGGGTGCAAGATGCCCTTTCTATGGGTGCGAGACATATGCCAGATTTTTTTTTAAAGGTAAAGAATCTAAAACACCAATTAAGCACGGTCACGTATGTAAAGTTAGGGTTTAAATTTTGATTTAAAGCTTTCGTGACTGCAGTAATTCATATTCTTAGTTCTTTCGGTAAAGTCACGTTGAAGGGAAACAACAAAATAATAAAATATGTATTGTTTTATATATATTTTATTATTTTGTTGTTTCCCTTCAACGTGACTTTACCGAAAGAAATAAGATTAAGTTAGGGTTTGTTTAATCAATCCCTTGTATTTATTAACTTGCTTTTTTTTACGATTCAGAATCAAAGGGGGCGCAAAGGCTGCGGTCAAGGTTAAGAACCACTGTTTTACACTTTCGTAAAAAAAAAAACCCCACAATATCTCGTGGTGTTGGTGGTGGTGGTGGTCAAGGGGAGCCCCAAACTCGTCGCTTTGTCCACTGGGTGTGGGGCGAGGCGCCCCCCCGTCTGACCTCGCCACGCCAGCCACGATGCTGCCTTGAACCCATTCAAGAGCCACTGGACAAAACGTCGACTATATTGTAAACGGGGTTTCTTTTGACGGCCGTGTTACTTGACGGATGCGTTGGGGTTTGTTGTTGTTGTTGTTGTGAGACGTGCTTTGTGCGCCACTGCCAACGGAGTGTAACCCCAATAATTAGTTTGTTGTTATCTTGAGACAAATCTTTTTGTTGCAATGGATTAGCTTGGGGAAATAACTATTGCAAGCAACACCAAGACACGTTAAACACAATAACTATCAACGTATGAATTCACATTGCATGAAATCTGAATACTGTACAACTATGTATCCATTATAAAATTACAACACGCTAATATAACAAAAAATAAAAAGTCCACACGAGTCCATGTGCTGTATGCCAAAATAAAAATCTGCATTTGTCTCAGCAAAACATTACCGGTTCACGATTCTCAACAAACTCCACAGATAAGCAGTGGATTGCCAAAGGGAAGTAATACGATCATACTCTTTGATTCTTTCGGTAAAGTCACGTAGTTAGAAATAAAATAAAACAAATCACGACGTTTCGATCGCAACACAAGCGGTCGTCATAATGTGTAATACTGGAGGCGCTATTTTATATAGCAGACATCATCCGAGAAACGATGCCCTGGGCGCCGCGGTAGCTAGGAGATGTTATCTCCCTCGCCTGGAATTCAGGAGGTTCGTGAGTTCGACCCTGACGCTGACGCCTGCTGCTGTACAACTTGCATGCTTCTTCTCCCCGTGGTTGCGTTTCTCTCTCTCTCTCTCCGAGTCCTCCCGAGCGTGGCGCCCTTGGTTCGTAGAGAGGGTGACGGCTTGCAAGAGGAAGGGAACCCCAGTGTGGGGCCAGCCACGACTTCAGCGCGGGCGAGTGGCGATGGGGACGCGGCGGCTGCTGCGGCTGCTGCTGCTGCCGGGGACCAGGCTCTGTTCACCGGCCGTGAAGGACCGATACGGCGCACAGTTGCAGGTGGCTTGTGGGGTGTTTCTCTGGCCAGTGAAGGGGCCGAGGATCCCTTGGGCCACCAATTCACCGCCCAAGAGAATCTTCCAACATTACCCGACAATTGCACATTGTAATAATCATTGCCACCTCCTGCGAAAACTTGGCAGAACCCTCCTGGAAAAGGTCACGATACTTCCACAAGACTTCCCTGGGGTAAACAAGCGTAGGGATACACTAATACTCAACTCATTTAGATGTCACTTTTGTATGTGTCATTCGACTACAAGCTATGGAACAGCTCTCTGTACATTTGTGAAAAGGAGTTGTATATCTCATCGGATTCCTCCAGTATAAATGTATCCGATTCTGATCTTGTTGCTACTGCTGCTGTGTGGCTGGTGCACAGAAGGGGGTAGCAGCCTGGGGTGGGTCTTGTCACCAGGCTACGTCCAAGTCAAAATGTGCGTGCTTTCGTGTAGCCCCGAAGATGGAAGTGAAACGTACTAGTGACAAATACAAACACACAGCCGTACACATCAACATTGTCCATACGTAGCTCACAAAGACGATGAACTTATCCAGTTAAGTCATCTGGATCATTTCCCATCGCCGCTACGACAGGCACCTGTGTCATTCAACAACAACAAAAATGAGCACACATCCAATGCGCGAGTTTAGCAATAATAACTGGGTTTATTTCAAATTTTATTCCAGGTTGCCCAATTGCTGGACTACCATGTACATCACAATCTATGCTTGGAGGTGGGTTTGGTGGTGGTGATAGGTAGGGCTCTTGATCTGGTGGCTAAAAGAGGGAATGTCAACCTTTGCATTCATGTCGGCGCGACCGGTGTGTGTGTGTGTGAATTTTCCCCAGCCGGCGTGCACTAAACGTTTAGTTAAGTTTTTTTTTGCGTTTCGTTTCTGCCCCAGACTCAAGGTCGTGAATAAAAACGCCTCCATCCACAATCATCCGCAACCTTTGGAAATACAGTATGTTACAGTAAGTCAAAGATATTCACAGCAAAAAATGATGGTAAAATAAAGACACGTAGAAGGGAAACAATAAAATAATAAAAATATAAAACAATAAAATTCTCACGACGTTTCGACTGCAACACAAGCAATCATCATCAGGTGTGAAAACCACAGCAAGAAAATTTTAAAAAAGTGGCGGGTTGCTGTGGTTTTCACACCTGATGATGATTGCTTGTGTTGCAGTCGAAACGTCGTGAGAATTTCATTGTTTTATATTTTTATTTTATTGTTTCCCTTATACGTGACTTTACCGAAAGAACCAAGCATATGAATCCCTGCAGTCGCGAAAGCTTTAAATCAAAAAATAAAGACAGTTACTGTGTCCTAATACATTGTCGTTTTATTGAGGCAGTCCTATTACCTAGTGATTCTTTGACATAACACATACCATTTTTTTTAAGAAAAGAAATGTACACATTCATTTATAATGTTTTCAGATTTTTTTTCCAAGCATTTGGCAAGTAACAGTACAGTCACATCTTTATATCGACTTCTATACGCGACACAGCAGTGCTCACTTGGTTAAAAAGGTTTATTTAAACATTTTTTTAATATAGACACTTAGGACGTCTGAAAAAAAAGTCAATGACTGTTTATTATCTCGGTTTCCCTCCCTCCCCCCCACCGTTATTATCTCTCCTCGTCTTCCCCCTATCCATTAGTGCTCCGCCAGTATATCCCCGTCAATGTGGCTGCCACAAGCATCTTACCCCGGCTCCACGGCTGAGCTGACACAATATTCACGAAATGTTTGCGACATGCAGGCGGCGTCTCAACATGGGATGGGGGCCACGTGTGAAATCACACGCATGTGACGTACGTAAGATAATGTATAAATAGTGTTTTTGTTGCCTCTTAAGCCTTTCTCGGGAGAAATTGGTCGGTCTATGACAGTTCTAAAGAAGACCACATCAGAAAGAAAAACCAAGATAGATAATATAGTCAAGTCAAAGTATCCCCAAGTTCACACGAGCATTTAGGCAGCAGTCATTCCCGTCGCCGGTCCTGAGCAAGTGGTGGAAATTCCATGTTCCTATGGCAGGGATCAGTCTCTGCATAGGATAACCACTGCTGACTTCATACCGAGTGGTGTAACCTCACCAAGGTGGTCATCGTATTTAGTGACCCCCAGAGCGATGATAAACACAGTTAACCTTGGCCAGGATTTGTATACAGATATGTGCATATCTTGTATATAATACACACGTGTACACAGCATGTATGTAGTCCACAAGAGAGTATACAACTTACCATGGCCCAGAAATGTATAAAGGCTGGGAAAATGTTAAAATAAATCTACTGGGAGTTATTCTACTTATTAGTTATTTTCAATCATTTGTTTTAAAACAATTGTGTTTTAACGCAAGGGTTACAACCTATGCAGAGCCAGCAAACGTTCATATCCGGCTCAAAACACATGCATGTGTGTATGTAGAGGCAAGCCTTTTAAGAGTGGCATGCGGGGCATTGTCATGCCCATCAACCACAACCCAACAACATAACAAACAAAAAAATGTCCACGTTCTGAAGCGCCTATATGGCTGCAGCTCTTGACCACGGATGTCAGATGACCATCGCTGGAATGAATACCCAAAAACACAGAAATGGAATGACAAGCAAATTAAAAAAACACAGTAACGGCACATTTCTTAAACCCACGCAAACAGATGATACAGCCTAAAAAACAAAAGCATAATGTAAGCATAATGCTTCCACACGTACTGGCTAGTGCCATAAATTTACAGTACTGTACTGATCTTTTTGTCGTTAAGTATCGTGGAGTGACACATTTTTTGTTGTTGTAAATCTAATTGCACTGTCCATTTGCCAACTGGGATATCACACAACTGTCAGGTGAGACAACGCAACACAATCAGCTGACAGTTCTGCCTTTATTACTCTAACACAGGAGTTGTGTGTGTGTATTTTTTATTTTATTTCAGAATTAAGATAGACAACGCACAAACATTTGCATAATCCACAGGCTATGGTGTACAGTATTCTGTTTATGTGGAAAATGATATTTCGCTTTGTTCGTTAATGCTGCTATATACGAGGGGCCAAAATTATAATGTAAAAAAAGGGCCCAGAAAAAAACTGATTAAAGAACCACTTGTGCTGGACTGCCCCTCCCAAGATGTCACAAACGATGCATCCCCCCCTCCCCCCCCTCTGCACCTCCATGCTGTTGAACGACCCGTTAGTATGAAAAATTACTGCAAAATTCCCATCGCTTTCATCCCCCAGCAGGCAAAGGATTTTGGTATGGTTCGTTGATTTTTCTCTGCCCGATTCGATCTTTAAAGGGCCCAAAATTTGGGTGCGACAAAAAGCAATTCAAATAACCTCTAAGGTACATTCATGTCCCCCAATTCGTTTTTTTTCCTTTTTGATTTTATTTTTAGGTCCTGTAAACAGTAAGCAACAAAAAAAATGCACACTATTTAAAGTAATAAAATTAAAAAGACAAGTGACAAACATTACGTAAAACGTAACTTGTTAGTTTTTTTTAAAGTTTTAATCCCCCTGCAAGTCAATTCACAATTAAACCGTAGACGTGATATAATTATGTCAACCAAGACATCGCAAGACTGCAAGGGGGGCGAGAGCCATATCCAACGTCAATGCACTTTTTTTGTTTACCTAACGCGCTAAAACAAAAGTGATCATTTTGCGTACGTCACCGAAGAAAGCATTTATAATTTGGAAAAATCCAACAGCGAAACCGCGTCTGCTCCCCTCCCCCCCCCCGCAAACCACTCCTCACGGATTATCGCGTGGTATAACTGACTGCCGAGCCAATTCCTCGGGACCACGGGAGACCTTGGTAGGTCAACTCACCTGGCACACACCGCCCGCCAATCCTCCAACTTTTGCCATCTCACCACAATCCCCCCCCGCCCCCAACCAAGTTTTAGAGACAAACCGGTTCCAAAATTTTTGTTACAAAAAAAAAACCCGGCACAACCCGCGAGCCCAGGCAGCGGCGGGCACGGCCCCCCACCCCGCACACACACACGGATGCCCCCCCCCCTTCCCCGCCCAAGCGGGCAACCCCTTGGCTACGCACGCTTAACGCGCGGGGGCACAGCACCTCCTGCCTTCCGTGACCTCGTCCCAGATTCGGGGGTGCGAGTGTGCGCACTTCCAGTCGGGTGGGGGACGGGGCTTGTGGGGGGCGGGGCTTGTGGGGGGCGGGGCTTGTGGGGGGCGGGGCTTGTGGGGGCGCGCGGTAGGGGGGGGGTCAAAAAGGTTTGCTTGTGTGGAGAAAGGGCAAAGAGGATGGGGGGGGGAGGGGGTGAATTGCAGGAGAGGCACAGGACGTGGAGGTGGAGAGGTGCGGGTGCGTGGGAAGGGGTGGGGTGGGCGGCAGCGAGGATCGGGGGGTCAGGGGAAGGAAGAAGGCGGAGGGAGTGGAGGAGTGGAGGAAGGCAGGTTGTGTCGGCGTGGCGGGGAGCTGAATGGTGGGCTGTCCCTACGGCCGTGCGCACCCCCAAGACGCCGGGGGGGGGGGGGGACCCTCCTCCCCCTAGTTGATCTTGTCCTGGAAGATGTACAGGTTGTTGGTGGCGGCCACGGCGATGATGTTTTCGCTCGGGTGCCAGGCTGTGTGCAGGATCTTGCGGTTGAAGTCGAGGCTGTCCACGCTGATCTCGTCCTTCTTGCGCTTGCCGCCGCCCGCGCCGGCGCAGACGCGCCGCGGCTTGAGCACGGCGCGCGGCTTGCTGTTCTCGCGCGACGCCTCCAGGGTCACATCCCGCCGTGTCCCTCGATCGAACATGCGGAAGAAGTTGTTGTACGACCCCGTCATGATGACGCTGTTGCGGAAGGGTGGGGGTGGGGGTGGGGTGGGGCGCAGGAGAGACGAGCGGTCACGCATTTGTTTTGCTGTCTCCGACTTTACGTCGTCTCTCGTGTTCTGCTCTATCATTGGTAATTTGTTTTTTGGAGGAAGTTTTGTCACTGGGTGCACTCGGAGCTGTGCTGCTTTCGGCGGCATGCCAATGCAGCTGAAGAATGTAGACTCCCTCGTCCAGTGTCGCTTCACGTACATCGTCACTGATAGGGCGTAAATTACGTGTCGCTTTTTTTTTACATTCACGCGTCCCTAAATAGTGCCCTCCTGATCCAGCGGAAGAGCAGGGTGTGGAAGTGAAACGAGGGTGTAAAGTGGCAGCCATCACAGCCGTGCAGCTGTGCTGTCACACGCGCGCGGCCACGCGCACACGCAGACACGCACACACGCAGACACGCACACACGCAGACACGCACACACACAAACACGCACACGCACAGACACGCACACACACAGACACGCACACACACAGACACGCACACACACAGACACGCACACACACAGACACGCACACACACAGACACGCACAGACACGCACACACACGCACACACACAGACAGACACACACAGACACGCACACACACAGACACGCACACACACAGACACGCACACACACAGACACGCACACACAGACACGCACAGACACGCACACACACAAACACGCACACACACAGACACGCACAGACACGCACACACACAGACACGCACACACACAGACACGCACACACACAGACACGCACACACACAGACACGCACAGACACGCACACACACAGACACGCACACACACACACGCGCCCGCACATTCGCATCTTCGGATAAGGCCAAAAATAAAAGCTCTCCTATTATCCAACATCTAACTCAAACTCTACGCCATGTGTTCGAAACACATTTGCCGTGTATATTGGCCATTTCTGTGTCATTGTGTATTTTGTGCCATGCTATATACACACACACACACACGTTTCTATTGCATTCATTTGAGTACGTGTGCTTGTATAGCAGCGTTAAATGCATTAAAGTTGCATGAAGTGTACATCTGGTACTCTATGTCGGCAATAACACGTAGGCCACACCAACCCCGAGAGGTGTCCTTGTTTTATTCGGCAATGCCCTTGGCCGATGCTCGAGCAATAAAAAATGAACTGCCGAACGATGTCGGCGACACTAAAATGCCCTCGTAACAACTGTGCATCCACGTTAAATCATTTAATCTCTTCACGAAGATCCTCCTCTTATCCTGAACAGACTTCCGGGAAGCGGGGGTCGACAACGCCACGGTTGGCCGTCTTCATCTCCCCCCCAAGTGCGAAGTTCCGATGGCGTAACGACAGGACCGCAGCACCGTGCCACTCGCGAGCAAAGTCCCTGCCGCCCACTCCAAACAGGCGTGCGCAACATGCTCAGAAGCACGCACATCCGGAGTCCCAGTGCACATCGACCAGGCCACGCTCATTAAGAACCAACCCTCCCTCCCCCCCCACTCCCCCGGGTCCGTCTGCCCCCCCCCCCAAGCCAGACACGAGAAACCGGCACAAACATCTGGGCCCTTGCCGGAGCACCTGTGGGTGTTGCCCCCCTCCCCCCCCCCCCCCCAGAGAGCTCGTTGCTTTACTGCCCCCACCTGGGCGAGGCAGCCAAGGATCTGATGTGTGGTGTTGCAGGACAACAATAATGCAGGTGGCGCGAGGGATGCTGCAATAGCAGCAGCACTCGCACACGTGGTGGCCTGGCCCAATTAAAGTGACGAACAAGGGGCAGACACAGTGTGGATCGCGTGCGGGTGGAGGGGCAGGAGCGAGCGTAATGGGAGCAACTGTCAGGGCCCCGATACCGTGGACCATGTACACCGTCTTTGGGGCTCGTTCCCCACCAACATTGCTTACTACACATTACTCTGCTGTGACTTTCGTACACCATCGTGTACAACGCGCCCTTTCACCTAAGCGGATTTATTGACGTCTCAAAGGGTATAATTTGGCCTTTCCCATCAAGCAGGCGGACGGGGAAGCTACACGTTCGTCATTGTTAGCCGCCGGAACAGTTTTCAATCGGTCCGATGATATAATCCCTGTGGCCGTCTTGTAAATTTGGAGCACCATTACGTGAGCTCACCATTTGCTCGATTGTGGATATTAAAGGCCGTATTGGCCTCAACGTTTAATAGCAAGGCAACCGTGAGCCCATGTAAATCCGAACCGTTACTAAATTACGATCGGTAATGTTTGAAAAGGTTATATTCTCATTTGAGAAGGTATCACTGAAATTTAGATATTTATATGAACAAATTAGTAACACGTAGCAGGCTTTGTGCTTTATGTAGTCATTTAATGCCAAACTCTAAGGCAGGGCGAGATGTTAACTACCTCGCCTGGTATATAGGCGGTCGTGGATTCGATCACGACCCTGACACCTGTATATTTGGAGTTTGCGTGTCTCTCTCCCCGTGGTCGCGTGGATTTTTCTCCGGATCCTCCGGTTTTTCCCTCCACATTTAGAACTATGCGCTTGGAGTATTTGGCTGCTTCTATACATTTCCATGTGATAAGCCACTTCTTTGTGCTAGCATTTGTGGTCATGTCGTTTCTGAATAAGAGCTATATAGATCAGTGGGCCTTACCTGGTAAAATAAAAATGGTTTAGTTTATAAGGGGAAGTATTTGATTTACTGATGGTGATAAAAATCATGTTTTATGTGTTACGCATGAGATTTTGTAGAAGCAAAGGTAACATTTCTATACATATTAATAGCAATGAACAGAGCGTGGACAATATTTGTGCCAAATTCCACGTTCCACGAGGGCGCAACAACACCACCCAAGGTTCATCAAGGTAGACGAGGCGGTGTGGCCAAACTCTCGTTTCCAATTGCCGTAGTTACCCCACACAACTGACACACCGCTGTGCCAGGTGAACACGCGCGAACGTGCGCGTGTGGCTGTCCCAAGGGGATCAACCTTCCATGGAAAACTTTGGACAACACCTCGACCGCGCGAGGACAGGGCCAGGGACGAAGACGCTGCCCGCTTGCTCCACACAGGTGGAGCGCGAGGAGCGGCCCAAAGTGCGACTTTGGCCACCACCCAAGTCGGACGATGGCCCCAAGCACCGAACTCCTGGCCCCGAGAGATCCATTCCCGGTGGCATCGCGACCACTCACTCTGCCTCGTCACCTGGAGCCGGCGAATGGATTTCTAACCTCGACATCAAAACTATAACCAATTCGCCGGCCATACGAAGAAGAAAGGCAGAGGAGGCTCGAGCCAGGTTCGAAAGCCAAGGGACAGGTGTTGTACATGGCCGAGTATTGAACCCGGGTCAGTAGGATTCGGTATTGCGGTGACAATTACCACACCGCCGGCTCCACGCAAGCATCCTCGCATCACGTGAAGATGTACTACCGCATTGCATTCGAGCCAACACACGCCGCAGGCGCGATTTCTGCTAGGGAACCTTCTAAGCCAGGCGACACGCTCACGCACACAACCCCTCATTAGTTATAAATAACCGTTGACGGTGATGGCAGTCATTGCATAATTTAGCCCGTTTATGTTTAACTGTGACGATGCAAATGAAACGACACAAAACCTACGCAGCCATATTTCACCGTGATCTGCCGCAGTGCCGTTGCGCTGTTCGGCGCGCGCACCGCACCCAAAATGCAGTTCAATGCCGTGCGTGAACCACGCACAGGGCGGTCCATTAAGTGCAGCACGCGGACAGGCTCTGCGTGCGTGCGTGAGACATCAATGTGAAATTCCCACGGGCAGGACAGCACTGACATGCGGAAACATTAATGTTGGGGTGTGATGAGCGACCGTGGTGGCTGTGTTCGTGAAGCCGGAGACCACAGCGCGATCATTACATCTCATCCATGATCATCTCACGTCTCTGTGCTGCAAGTACCTACCTCGTCTGAATGAGAAATCTTATTCTAGGAGATAAAAGTTAATCAGATTATTTAAAAATATATAACTATACGATTGTTCGTGCATCTTTGATGACGGGATGACGGCGTTCTGGAGTGGCAGATCTTATGCCAGAAAGGCACCACGCGTTTAGGCTAAAATAAAATTAACGTTAAAAGCAACAGGTGTATTCTGACTCCGTACATGAACAATAACCAAACGCACGTGGTTGATTAATTTGAACACACAATTCAATATTGTTGTGACTAGGGTATGTAAAAATTTGTGAAGCTGGTTGTTAAAGGTTTGTCTATATATACATTATTGGGAATGGTCAACGCCTTTGTCTTTGTTGCACTGTACCTGCGTGCAGTGCATGCATTAGGCGTGGATTTTCCTCTCATCAGGGCTGCAACCGATGGCCAATTGGCTCGTGGATGTAATTAGCAGCGTCTGGATTAGTCGCCAGAAAGAAAACTGTTGTACTCTCTGCATGTTTCATTTGTGGTTTTATACGCTGGATATGATTGCGCGCAAATGGTTGACACCAAGTGAACAGAAACTAACGCGTTGTGATGGGGGTGAGGGTGCCCACTCGTCCACGTCAGGATTGCAAATATCACGAGTTTCTCCAATGCCAATATTAAAACCGCATTGCAATGGCGTTGATTAGCGGGACTGAACAGAACCTTTCCTTCCTTCTAAGTCCAAAAATAAAATGCTATGCTCCTTTTAAAAGGGAACTCGCATTGACAGAGAATCAAGCAAAATCACAAGCTCTCTGCAAAGTAATTTCCTTTACAGCACACGTGGTACATTTTGTTTACTCTTACCAGATGGTAATGCGTGTAACAAATTACGCAAAGTCATCTACTCAACGTAGCCATGCTAACATTTTTTTTTCCAAAAGTGGGCCCAGGTGACTTCATGTGGCGAATACTCTCGCTCCGTTTGCGTGAATGCAGTGTACCAGCTCTGACAAGACAATGAGTTGCCATTCCAAGATCTTGCCCGGTGTTAAAACAGGTTCCCAAGCAGGGCAATTCCTTTCATCTCGGTCTGCTTATTTACAAGTGCACCGAAAAAAAAGAAACCCACCTTAAATTACGTTGTTTCGTTCACACTTTAGTTCAGTGGATCTTGATTATTCGAGGCGCATACTGCCATTATAGTAATGAGAGTTCACGTGTGATTGAGTCAGACAGCGGGAGAGCAGACTCGGGTACCACGGGAACTTCAGGGTCAGCGCTCAATGTTACAAGCAATACTGTTGTACAGAGGATGCTTCTGCAAATAGAAGAGCCCAATACAATGAGCGATGCAAACTTTGATGAACACAATGCGTGTCGTGTTTTTTTTTTATCACTTCCGCCAATCAAAACGCCAAAGACTCTGATCAGGGCACAACATCCAATGACAACCTTTGCTGCTGAGCTTTTAAGACAAAATAAAAAAATATGTCGTGTGTTTGAAGAATGTCAGCTGACCCCCTCCTTGGGCTCACAGCATATACCCCAAACAAAACACGAACCTCAATGCCCGTGGAAAAACCTTCACGTTGATCAATTTCACACAACAGCCGAGGGCTGCATGGATTTAAAAAGTATATAAATACAAACCTCCCCCACAACATGTATTCATATCCCCCCCCCCCCCCCATACAGATCAGCACCGTGACAGCTGATGACAGACGGGGAAGGCTGGGAAGACGATTACATGGCTGCGGAGGACACATTGACTGACTCGTGCGCACCAAACAATCCCAACTCGTGTCTCGTCTCACGGTGGTAGCTTCATCTGGCGGGATTTGTCTTTATCGCCTCCATTATTTATCCCCACCACCCCTGCAAATAACTCATTAACCAGAAAAAAAGCTAAGGCATATCACGCGGCTCATAGCTGCCACCTCCCCACCAGTGTCAAGGGCTATTCCAGCAGGAGTCACAGCGGCCTCGCGGCTTCTCTCTCCACACCCGCAGAGCTGCACCCATCGATCACGTTCACTATTCCACAACGCTCGCAGCGGCGACTTTTTGGGCTAGCCATCGAAGAAAGACGGTCACCGCATCGCGCGCTTTCGGACGTGCTTCTGCGGCCGTCTGGAACGCTTCTTCCGTGCGATATTAGGAAGCCATTGTGGGAGCTGTGCACTTCTAAATCATCTAGATTGAAAACTCACTTCTTTAGAATTGCTTTTTGTGTTTAGTTTGTTGCCTTCACCAGGCACCTCCCCCGCACCTCCGATTAGCACGGTTGGCTACGTACGGTGCAAAATAAGTTCAATATACGTGCATACAGACACAATCTCATGATCTCTTGATGCCAGTATTCACCATTTCCGTTAAATGGAAACTTTAAAAGGTGATACGGAGTATGCTTTTAGTGACACTGATGAATAAGTGGTTTTAGGGCATGAACGTAACTTTAAACTAATTTTTTATTTTTTATTTTACCAGGTAAGGCCCACTTGGCTATATAGCTCTTTTCAGAAGCGACCTGGCCACAAATGATAGCTCAACCAAGTGGCGTATCATGTGGACATTTATAGCAGCCAAATACTCGTTTAAAAAAGCGGAGCTAAAAACCGTAGGACCTGGAGAAAAAAAACACGCAACCACGGGGAGAGAGACATGCAAACTCCAAATATACAGCAGGCGTCAGGGTCGGGATGGAACCCACGGCCTCATGTATACCAAGCGAGGTTTCTCGCATGTAAGAGGTCACGTTTTTATCAAGATACAAAATTGGCCACGTAAATTACACGAAATGTTAAGCATCAATACAACTCTACAACATTGAAAGCTGAATGCTAAATAACTACAGGGCATTAATATTTTTTCCCATTCAAGATGTTACCTTTCTAATATACAAGTCTTAATTTTTACATCGACTGCCTTTTTGCTGACGACGAGAAGCATGTGACATTGTATTACGTCAGACCGGGGCCGTGGAAATGTGTGGTTCCACTCCCGAGATTCTACCTGCTCTCCCATCACCTCCACCAGCTGCCATGAAGAAAGCGACGCACAGTGATTACCGCGTGTCCCGAGGACTTCGCCTGGGCGCAGAGAAACCCACGTCTGGGTCAGATCGTCCCAAAAGCACTTAAAATAACAAAAGGCGCTTATTTTATCTCGACAAACAATTACCAGTTTATATTACTATATTCCCACGAAGCAATTTTGTGCTTGTGGACCGTGCCATAATTTATATTTTCATCAAATAATGCAAGATGACAAAACTAGTACACGTCTAATCATGAATGTGAGCAAAAATGTGATATCGTTACTTGATTTCCATCAAGTGTTTATTCATTAAAAAAAACTTTTTTTTTGCCTTAGTTCGCTTAAGGAAAAACGTGTCGTCAATCCGCCACCACCCAACAGTCAATTCGTAAGGTTTGTCACGTAAACAAAACAAGCCAATTAGTTACTACTTCAGCCCACCGGTTTGTTAGAGTATTGCAGCCTGTGGGTATATTTTCAGCAAATCAGAGCTGAAGAACAAAGGTGAAACAAGATGGCCAAGTTGAGGCAACCTACAATTCACACTCAAGAAAAAATAAAATAAACTAAAACAATCCAAAAACGTTCACTGTATACGATAGGAGCATGTACAACGAACGATCGTCGCGGGCAATTTCCACCGACGTTTGTAAGTTGCACCAGGAAGTTGAAACAAAGGCGGCGGTGGGAAGAGAGCGGCGCAGGCCGGTGCTGCCACCAGCGTGGTGTGACATCAACAGCTTCTCTCTCCCTCTCTCTCCCTGCTCACAAGAAGGCTAAATTGTGGCCTGTAAACGAACACAACTGTGGTGCCAAAACATTCTGTGCATCTGCTACGTGAACACAAATACGTACGGCACACAGGCACGCTGCTTGTATTATACATTCGAGTATTCGGCTGCTTTAAATTTCTATGTGACTGTAAGCCACTTCGTTGAGTTGCGATAGCCACCGCTTGTGAAAAAAGAGCTACCTGGTAAAATTAAAAAAAAAACATCTTTACAAAATTGTATTTATGTAGAATGCGTGATGTAATCGGACGGAAACACACAAGCCCAGGGAGCCATGACGTTCATCACACCTCGTTACAGATGAGGATCACTGTTTGAGGCTAGATCCGTGTGGCAGGGAGTGAAGCCCATGCCATTTTGCCTTTGCGCCGAACTTTTATTCAGCCGATGAGGAGTCTCTTATTGGGCGAAACGTATAACAGCTTTGTTGTTGTTGTTTAAAGAGGGAAGGGGGGGGGGGGTCCTTACCTGTCAGTGCCGTTCCATGCACATTCAAACTTGTCGAAGATGCAGTCGTTCTCGTACAAGGAGCACAGCTTGCTCCTCAGGTACTCGTGCACCTTTAAACAGCAGCAACATCAACAAGCAAACTCACTCAACAACGCCACCCCCAGCCAGCAATTCACGGAGCGCTTCAACAACGATGGGTTTTTAAACAAAGATGGAGGCCAAGAGCTGACCGAACACAGTTTTTACACGAAATGATGGCGACTCCCAACTCTTGGTTCGCCAGCTACGCAAGTCCCACAGAGACTCAGCTGAAGCCGCGGCTAGAGACAGGTTCGCATAGTCCCAATATACTTCACAGCAGAGTACCGGTTCAAATTCCATTTAAATGGAAAATGTTCACTCAAACAAGAGGCATTGGAATGCGGAAACGCCACAGCGCGAATTGTCTGTCCTCTACATAGCGGAGGATTATTCAGCTCCTGCCGTACACAATGGCAGAGGAAAGGACAAGCATCCTCAAGAGCGAGCGTTACACTAGCCTCAAAAATGAAATATTTTTTTTTATTTTACCAGTTAAGGCCCACTGAGCTATTAGGCAGCAGCGATCTAGCTGTGACAAATGATAGCTCAACGAAGTGGCTTATCACGTGGAAAATGTATAGCAGCCAGATTACACGGAACGCGTGTTGATTTTAAATCTGGAGGGAAAAAAAAAAACGAAGGACCTGGAGAAAAATGCAAACCACCATGGGGGGCACACGCAAACTCCAAATATACAACAGACGTCAGGGTCCGGATCAAACCCACGACGTCCTGTATACCGGGCGAGGTAGTTAATATACGCCGTTGGTGGTGCTCGAGTGCCTTCTCGGCCAGGCGACACGTGCACACACGCACCATCGTTCGGTATAAATAACCGCTGACGGTGATGGCACATAATAACAAGCGTGTATATTAGTCAGATTATTTGGCTATTAAACATTTCCCCATGATAAGCCGCTTCGTTGAGCTGTCATTTGAGGCCAGGTCACTTCTGGCAAAGAAGCGAATAGCTCAGAGGGCTTTACCTGGTAAAAATAAAAATAAATTGCTTAGTTATCCGTCTTTGGTTATTTGTTTACCTTACGTGTACTTTGCAATTCCTATCGTGTTTTTTTTATCGTTTCTGACCAGCCCTCGTATTGGACATCTGCGGCAAAGGGCTTTACAGCTCATCGGATTCCTCCAGGATAAATAAAGATTCTGACTTCGAGGTGCTGTCGAGCGCGGAGGGGGTCTGCACGCTGGCGGCGCACCTGGTATGTCTCGATGGGCCGGGTCTCCATGTTGAGGTCCCACACTTTGACCGTGAGGTAATCGCGCGTCATCATGTAGCGCCCACTGTGGCTGAACTTCACGTCGGAGATGGACGAGATGATCTCCGAGAAGAACGAGCGATTGCTGGGGTCCTCGGGCTCCTCAAACACTGCAGGGGTGTGTGCGAGATAAACGGCGACACGGCCACTGTTAGTTAACGTCAGCTCCGGCGCCATTCCCATTCGACAGCAAGCGCGACGTCATTTTAACAGTCCGCGCTGTGTAATGTATAATCGTTACGCAGCGGAAAGATGTTAACCACCTCCCTCCCGACCCCTGTAAATTTGGAGTTTGCCTGTTCTCTCTCCCCATGGTCGTGTGGATGTGTCTCGGGGTCCTCCGGTTTTCCGTCCACATTTAGAATCCTGTGTTTAAGGCTATTTAGCTGCGATACATTGACACATGATAAGCCACTTCGTGAAACTATCGTTTGTGTCCGGGTCGCTTCTGAAAAAGAGCTATATAGCTCAGTGGGCTTTACCTGGTGAAATAAAAATTAAAAAAATTGCCCAAATTTCCAAACAGGAAAAAATTCGTAGCAATGCCGTATAAAAGCAGGAATGGAACTCCACAGACGGAAATTCTTGGGAGACGTTTTGGGTGGACTGCTATCGAACTGTCAGCAACCCCCTTTATCAAATCCAAGTCCTCAGACAAATACGCAGTGGGTGTTGTCCTCGAAAGGGGTCACGGGCGGTCTCTCCCTCTTTCTGTGTCTCTATCTCTCACTATTCCCATGTCTCCTCGCCTCTCTCCCGCCCCATCTCTTATGCCTTCCCCACTTCTCTCTCGCCTCTCCTTGTGTCCCATGTCGTTTCGCTCCCTCATGTCTCCACCTATCTGCGTTTTGTCGCACCTCTCGCCTGTACCATGTCCCTCTCCCCACACCTCTCTTCGCTCCCGTCTCTTCCCTCGTCTCTCCTCCAGCCTACTCTCGTGCCTTCGTCATCTCCTTGCGTCTCATGTCCGTCTCTCTCTCCTTGTGTTTCCACTCGATGTCTCTGCTCAAGTCGCACGTCTCTCACCTCTCTCGTACATCGTGCGATTGTCTCCTTCGTCTTTGTGCGTGCTCATTCGTGAGCACGTGTTTGCATACGCATTTGTGTAAAGTTGTGTGCTCACAAGTGCGTGCACTGGTGGATGTAAGTTTTCGTAATGTGTGCGTTGGTATATATGTGTCTGTGTGGGGAGCGGTAGTGTGAAGATCAGCACTACGCTGCGCTACGAACCTGGCGACCCAAGTTAGATTCCCGATCACGGTCAACATCGGTGACGATTATCTGAATCGGTCCTGGGCCTCCCCTAGGTCGACTCAGCCTCAAATGAGTACCTGATGTGGTGTGCTAATATCGCCACTGGGGAGACAAAGACGGTCGGGCGTGGTGCTGGCCTCCCATCCCCTCGTGTGCCATGCAGGCCTTCATAAGTACTCGCGAACAGCACTTGCCCCAAAGTCTGTTAAGGCTATATGGAGGATCTTTGTCTATGTCTTTGTGTGTGTGCGAGCACACGCGATGTGGTGACATCACCACCACTTTGGGGCAAATGGCGGCTGCTTTTGTTTATTTACTTTCTAAAAGGAGTTTCCAATTGAAAAATATTTTTAAAAAACCCAGGTACAGGGCATAAAGGATACCTCATCAACCCCCATTGGCTAAACCCTACCACTCAGGATTATAGAACTGGGCACAGGTAATATGATCATTTGTGGATTGGCCCAGAACTGTGCAACAAAAGCAATCAAGGGGCCACGGATCTCACCCGTTGTAATGTCATTCCATTCAGTAGCATCGATTGCTCGAATAACTTGAATGTCAATAACCATGCAATGTTTAAGAGCAATACACTTAAAACGAATAACATGTAACATTCATACAAATGTCTGAATGGCGAGACACACTGCAATAACGCACACATCGTTGAGGTTTAGTGAACCGCATGGGAAAGAAAGCAACTCGCTAGGACGTCGATGTCAGGTAACTTATTATGAACCATTTACGTTTTTGAAATTACTCGCATTTGAATCTTGCCCACACACAAAACCAAACGCACATCGGCAACTTTTGCTCAGCCAGAGGATGTGGAGGCAAAGTGCTGTCAAAGCAATTGCTTACGACGGCAGACGTAGCACAAAGAGGGTGTGGGGTGGTGATGATGCAGCCAGGAGTATTGCTGCTCACACCGCAGTGTTAATGCTCACGCTCCACAGCAACCACTCTCGAATCCCATATTGACAGGCTGGGCGGCTCAAGGTCACGGCGCTCAGCAAGCACCAATGCGATCCTGCGTTTGAATCTCGGTAAGCCACCCTGTGATGAAACCAGCTTCTCAAGTGCGGTGCAGTGGAGCCGACGGTCTTGAATGACCGGGTCACCAATGCGAGCGCGACAAACTATCACGTCATCTGCTTTTGTACGTGTGGGTTTAATCCGGGTGCTGCGGTTTCCTCCCACGCACACCCTCACTGCTCCCATGCGCATTCTTAAAAAGGAAGTAGCCCAAGCACCTCCGGTGGAGGGCTGTCCTGAAAGCGCCTTGGGGATCAGTGAGACTTCTCTGAATCAATAAATGTTATTGTTATTATTTCTGGCTATCGCCTGATGGAGTTGGTGGTAATGACCAGCGAAACGTCGTACTCGGTATTGCAAATGTTGTGGATTTACTCTCCAACACACCGGTGTGCTGAACTAGTAACGAATTGGCACGTTTTGTTTACGTGACAAACCTTATTAATTGGCTGTGTTGGGTGGTGATGGGTTTAACGACACATTTATATTGATGCGCTCTAACCCAAAAACAACAAACTCTATTATGGATAATATTGGTCGCGAAAGCCCTACATGACGTCATCAACTCGCTGTCTCCTTTGACAAGCTGTGAATTAAATACAGGCGGGGCTCCAACGCTCCTAAACCCTGGCATCTCAACGTCGCTGGCTCGGTGCTGGCGATGCGGGGGGCGTCGGGAAGCCCAAGAGCCGTCCGGTACGAGCACCCCTTAACCGCCGTGCATCCCCGACTGCGAGCTTCCCCTTAACCGCCGTGCGTCGCCGCCCACTGCGAGCTTCCCCTTAACCGCCGTGCGTCGCCGCCCACTGCGAGCTTCCCCTTAACCGCCGTGCGTCGCCGCCCACTGCGAGCTTCCCCTTAACCGCCGTGCGTCGCCGCCCACTGCGAGCTTCCCCTTAACCGCCGTACGTCCCCGACTGCGAGCTTCCCCTTAACCGCCGTGCGTCTCGCCGACTGCGAGCTTCCCCTTAACCGCCGTGCGTCGCCGCCCACTGCGAGCTTCTCCACTCGTTGAGCGCGACGTGATTGTGTTTTTTGTTTTAACCGATACCGAAATGAAGCGCGCACAGAGGAGAGCACGTGTTGTACTCTGACCACATCTGGTGCGCGTCTTGAAGTAGCATGGGAACCGAATTGGTGTGGCAAAGGGGCAGCCGCGATGGCAACGGCCGCAAACGTCCGGGCAAATTGGTGCGGCTTTCTCGCTCGCAAAGGGCTGGTCATTCCTCAACACTTGCAAGCCATGGGCCAACGGTGGAAATTCCACATTGCCAAAACGAGGGCCAGCACATTCATCGGTCAACCACCGTTAATGATGGAAGTAACAAGGATGACAAAAAAATGCAGCTGCACGGGCCGCCTTGGGACATTTTCAACCCAAGTCTTAGAATTATCCCAGTCTTTGGTGATTAAATTGAACCCTACAAGGCATGGCAGAGACCAGGCATCATATGCAATTATAATTATGTTATTCACAATGCAATGCATTAAAAATTTAATCGTTATTTCAATTAGTATTGGTTCCGTAATTGTAATTATAATTGATTCCACATCTGCTAACTGGTTTCCACCTTTGTTCAAAATGAAGTTTAAAAAAAATATTTCTCTTAAAGCTATTGGAGATTCGAGATATAATTTCCCTGGAGGTAAAGGCAGATGTTGTTAGCTGCCATTGGGTGTCAGCCCTGGAGCGTATAAAGTCTCGTCATTAAGGAGCCCCATCATATCGCTGTGACCAATTTCCTTGCAAGAGACACCACAAACAGCACACCTAATCTCTCACACCCCTCCACAATAACACATTCTTGCATTCTTTTATTTAACGTTGAACTATTTAAACATCGCAAAGGGTTGGTCACAGCAAGTAAATGTTTCAACCCATCCTCTGAGCCATTTTGCCGTAAAATGTTGGCTAATTGTCACATTCTCTTTGGTTGTATTCGGTAAAGTCATTTTTATTTTATTTTTTTACCTACGTGACTTTACCGAATAAAACCAAAGAGTATGGATTCTTGCAGTCACGAAAACTTCTAATCTAGAGTTGTCACATTAATGAACAGCGGAGTCCCGTGTCTGATTTTCACCGGGTTTCCTCAGCACCAGCGGCTTAATTGTACACGATTATAAGTGCTAGCCTTGTGCCTTTATGGGTAATCGCCTACAATTCCACATGTGAATGTCACCGCTTGCTGAAAAATGCAAAGTCAACTCTCGAGATAAATCTAACCACAGCCTATGTCACTGCAGCCACACGTCCTTGCCACGTCTTCCTTGTGCCAAAACCCTGAGCTGTTAAAGAGTTGGCACCCGACTTCCAAGATATGCTCTTAGAAGTCTTCCCCGACTGACTTTAAGCCTTCCCCATACTTGCCGACGACTGAATGTCACTCCAATGTCGTAACATGTCTAGCATCCCCTGCATTATTGAATACATTACCTTCCGTCAACACAAATACTCATCATCACACGTGGGGGGGGGGGGACATGAAAGACATGACACAAATGTGAAATGCTACACAAGCCAAAAGTGCTATAGCTAAGCTGCGCAGCATCGCCTTTCAGGTTGTCAATTCTCATTTATTTTCATTATGACGTCTAGAAAGAAAACAGTGTATGTGGAAGGACAGGGCTGCTTTATATAACGATCTGATAAATTATCATAGCAAGGAAGTACACACACACACACACGATAATATTGCAGTGATGAACAGAATTATTAGTTGTGTCACTTTTGTGATCGGGATTTTAAAATGACCAAATTGTTTAGAAGATGAACGCCAGTGGCTATGAAAGACTGCTGGTTCGTATATGCTCCAGTGGACTAGCATGTCAATGTTTGACAATATTATTATCAATGTATTTAGGAACCAGACGTCTGGCACAATAATTGTATTCGTCCATTTGGTAGCCCTCCGTCTTCAGCAGCAGGAAAGCCAAGATGAATGCCAGCGGAGACCACTTTCTTTAATTTTTTAAAACGCTGCGAACGCCCACAAATCAATCTCCTCCTCTTGCCAAGACAGCGGCGATCTTGCTCAGTGGCGGGGGGGGGGGGAAGAACCCCTCCCACAACAAATCTGTCCACTTGAGAAGCTCCCATTTCCAACAAGGGTCAATCCGGCATTTCCACACACAAGCCTAAATTGGTAATGAGAAAAAAAAAGCTATTGAAATACAAAACGAAGTAATGAATAAAGGCCGGTGTAACCATCCTCCGGACATCCAAACCCAACTATCACTTTATTATCTTTGGCATTTTCTGGGTGATATAATTTAGGGGCAGCCGGTGAGAAGTGTGGCCTGGAGGCACTTGCTTCGGGGAAGAGTTTTTTTTCACTGAGAGCCATCACCGCTACAACAACCATCGCAAACCATTTGCAGGCCAATTACGGCTGTTGGCAATGAAGCACTCGGAGAAAAAGGGTTTTGCGTAACCCTGCTTTCTACCTGCAGACACACACAGCCACGCGTACGTTTCTCTCTAATCGCGATGAAAACTACTGTTCAGATTAAGGCGGTCGCCCAGTTCCCCACCCCGTCTTTTTGTTGAAGTGATTGAAGGCAACGAGGGGGGCTCGTGCGCGTCAGTGTGTGTGTCTGTGTGTGTGTCTTTGTGTGTGTCTTTGTGTCTTTGTGTGTCTTTGTGTGTGTCTTTGTGTGTCTTTGTGTGTGTCTGTGTGTCTGTGTGTGTGTGTGTCTGTGTGTGTGTGTCTGTGTGTGTGTCTGTGTGTGTCTGTGTGTGTGTCTGTGTGTGTGTCTGTGTGTGTGTCATTGTGTGTCTTTGTGTGTCTGTGTGTCTTTGTGTGTGTCTGTGTGTCTTTGTGTGTGTCTGTGTGTGTCTGTGTGTGTGTCTTTGTGTGTGTCTGTGTGTCTTTGTGTGTGTCTTTGTGTGTGTGTCTGTGTGTATCTTTGTGTGTGTGTCTGTGTGTGTCTACGTGGCCGGGAGTCAGAGCCATTCCCTGTACACCTTGGGGTGCGACAGGGATGTCCTCTGGCTCCCACATTATTTAACATCTATTTTGACCACGTAGTTCGTGAAGCCTTCAATAGCTGTACCGGGGGAATCTCCATATGGTACAGATATAATGGGAGGCTAATCGATGCCCGGGTGCGGTCAAGGGATGGCTCCCTATTGCTCAACCACATTATGTATGCTGATGATTTGGTAATAGCTGCTCAGTCAGAGGAGGAGTTGAAGACGCTGCTGCTGAGACTGGAGCGTGCCACTAAGAGGTGGGGCCTTACCATCAGCCCCACCAAAACTAAGCACCTGCCTGGGTATTTTGTACCATCGGACACTCCACCCCCACAACTCCCAATCGGTGATGGGGCAGTTGTGGAGAGAGTGGAGAGTTTCCCATACCTGGGCAGTGTGCTTATGACTGGCTCCAGTTTAACAGCAGAGGTCTCACTCCGAATCAGTCGAGCGGCAATATCTTTTCATCGGTTGCGTAACGCTGTGTGGAAGCTACCTGGTCTGTCGCTCCGCACTAAGCTTCAGGTCTTCTCGGCCACGGTCATTCCCTCCCTTCTCTACGCTTGCGAAACGTGGACCCCCCTGGTGGAGCATCTTCGCCGGTTAGAAACATTTAGGCTGGCCTGCCTACGATCCATCCTGGGTTTAACCAGACTGGATTGTGTGAGGAGCTCACAAATCCTTGAAAGATCTGGGCAGGGTCCCATCGGTGAGCTCCTCCGGCAGGCAAGGCTGCGATGGCTGGGTCATGTAGCCCGCATGCCCAACCACCGCATGCCGAAACAGCTTTTGTTTGGCCGGATTGAGGGGGCTAAGCGGGCGCGGCACGGGCTAGAGAAGAGATGGAGTGATGTGGTACAGGAGGACGTGGAGCTGAGTGGACTTGCCGATGACTGGTACCAGCGGTGTCAAGATCGGCCTCTGTGGAGGAGGCTCGTGAAGGATGCTACTGGGCAGTTGGAGGCAGTCGCCCTCCAACAACAACGGAGGGCGGAGGAGCGACGCTCACAACAACGAGCGGAACGCCGGGTGGCTAAAGCACAGCAGGTTGGCACAGTAGGGGGCACAGGTGGTGCATCAGCCAGTCATCTCAGTCAGTCGACCCGTGGCACCTGGGTCTGCCCCGTGACCTCCTGCCAGCGGGCGTTCGACACTTCACGTGGCCTCAGGGTGCACATAGCCTGGCACAAGCGTCGTGGTGACGTCACCGCCACTTAGTGGCGAATGGCGGTTGTTGTTGTCTGTGTGTCTTTGTGTGTGTATCTTTGTGTGTGTGTCTGTGTGTATCTTTGTGTGTGTGTCTGTGTGTATCTTTGTGTGTGTGTGTGTGTCTTTGTGTGTCTGTGTGTGTCTTTGTGTGTCTTTGTGTGTGTGTCTGTGTGTGTCTGTGTGTCTTTGTGTGTGTGTCTGTGTGTATCTTTGTGTGTGTGTCTGTGTCTTTGTGCGTCTGTGTGTGTCTTTGTGTGTGTCTGTGTGTTTTTATGTGTCTGTGTGTGTCTGTGTGTGTGTCTGTGTGTGTCTTTGTGTGTGTGTCTGTGTGTGTCTTTGTGTGTGTGTCTGTGTGTCTTTGTGTGTGTCTGTGTGTGTCTTTGTGTGTCTGTGTGTCTGTATGTGTCTTTGTGTATGTGTCTTTGTGTGTGTGTCTGTGTGTGTCTTTGTGTGTGTCTGTGTGTGTCTGTGTGTGGGGTGTGGTTGTGTAGCGGTTAGCGCTACGCTGCGCAATGAACCCGGGGACCCGGGTTCGATTCCCGCTCACGGCCAACACCGGTGACGATGATTTGAACCGGTTTTGGGCCTCCCCTAGGTCGACTCAGCCTCAAATGAGTACCTGGTGCGGTGTGTAAACATCGCAACTGGGGAAACAAAGGCGGTCGGGCGTGGTGCTGACCACCCACCTGCTCGTGTGCCGTGCCGGCCTACATAGGTGTTGGAAGTCTGCGTTTGCGCGCATGTGCGTGGTGGTGAGGATGCGTGAAGCAAAAGGGGGGGGGGGCTCACGTTTCGAGTGGCGGTCGCAGAGGGCCGAGGCACGCATGTCGCACAGCCGCACGGTGCCCTTGCTGCTGCTATAGACGAACATGTTGCACTGCAGCGGGTGGAACTCGGCCGCCGTGATCACCTCCGTCAGCTCCTCCATGTTCGCCGGCTTGATGTCGACAATGTCTTAGTCGGCGGCGGGTGGTGGAGGAGGAGGAGTGGGTGGGTGGTTGGGGGTTGGGTTGGTGGCAGTTAAGGTGCAAGAAACCGCTGGAACAACGAAACGCCGAACAGGACATCGCCCTCGCCCTAAACTAAACTATTTTTTATTTTGCCAGGTAAGGCCCACTGAGCTACGAAGCTCTTTTTCAGAAGCGACCTGGCCTCAAATGACAGCTCAACGAAGTGGCTTATCACGTGGAAATTTATAGCAGCGGCAAAATACTCTAAACGCGTGATGCCGATTCTAAACGTGGAGGGAAAACCCGAAGGAGCCGGAGAAAAATCCACGCGACCACGCGGCGAGAGAACACCCACACTCCAAACGTACAGGCATCAGGGTCGGGATCGAACCCATGACCTACTGCACTCCAAGCGAGGTAGTTAACATCTCCCCACCGAGGACGCCCCTGTGGGTCGGGTGAAAGGAGCACAGGCTGAGCCAAGGCTGCCCCGCCAGGTGAAGGTGGAGTCCACGTGTTTCCCCGTTTTTTGGGTAGTGCACCATGCACCGGCTCGTGTTATTTGGTACAACTGCAAACACATCGGAGAGCCACACAGCACAACCGCGAACGCCTATGCAGAAGTAGTCAATGTTGGTGACGTTATGCGGAGACTGATATCTGCCGCATAAATGTATAATTTACAACACTGCCTGAGGGCTACCGATAAGAGATGATGGAGTAATTGGGTGGGGCGACAAGATCCATCTGGGTGCCCTCTTTACCGTTCTGCTCATCGCTGAGAGTTCGCGACCTCGATGATTAAGCTATTCAAATTAGCTAATTTGGGCTTTGCTGGAACGTTGCTTCACTGTCCTCCTGGTTACATGAACATCACCGTCCGTCCGTCCACCTCAGTCATTTTTCCTTCCAGGTGTGCAAGGATTTCCCTTGCACACCTGTAGCTACAAAATACTTGGGTTTCCATCTTCCTATGTCGGTGTGGACTGGCTTTTTCACCAAACCCTTGTCGTACAGCTTTGCTGGTTTCTCTCAAAGTCTTCTCCAGCACCAGAGTCGAGATTCTGTGATTGTTCCCCTATCTGCTGCACGTGTGTGTGCGCGTGTCCATCCTATTGTGAGGAGCAGTAGCGTAGCGGTAACGCTGCGCTACGAACCCGGTAAACAGAGTTCGATTCCTGCTCACGGCCAACACCAGTGACGATTATCTTAACCGGTGATGGGCCTCGCCTAGGTAGACTCAGCCTCAAATAAGTACCTGGTGCAGTGTGTAAACATCGCTACTTGAGAAACAAAGGTGGCCGGGCGTACTGCTGACACCCTATCCCCTTGTGTACCGTGCCAGCCTTCATAGGTGCTCGCGAACAGCACTTACCCGTACAGTCTGTTAAAGGCTATACAGGAAAACTTTGTCTTTGCATCCTATTGCTCACGTAAAAGGAATTTTCATGTCTCTCATTCAACTGCCCCTTGGGAAATAACGCACATGTGCACACACACACACACACATTATTAAGATGAAAGAGCGCGAGTGAACACATGCGCGCCAATTGATAACCTACGACGTGCAGGTGCGAGAGCATTTGGTTTAATTGCTTCTCTTTCACTCATTCATCTGCTGTACGACTGTGAACAACTAAACTAGTGCCTATGTAATTGACGAAAGGTTATTCGTGATTGATACTTAATTGAACAGTTAACAATGCTGCACGGTATGGAACTGCTGGGCTTATAGAGAATGAGATCAAGCGGAATCAGCTAGCGTGTTGAGCGATGGATGTGAGTTGAACTTCTTTCTCACCGTACGTAGCCAACCGTGCTAATCGAAGGTGCAGATGCTGTTCCCACATTTGAAGTGGCCACGTTTTCACGCAAGCAAAATATTATATTTTATGATTCTATTTCCCCCCAACTATATTTGGAACTTATAATTTATATATTTAATGGACGGCTGCAACGACGGTGTGGATACATCTTTGGTCGGGAAAAAAAAAAACTTTTTTTAGGCAATGTATTTGTTCCGGACTCAAATTGATGTAATTTTCACTTTGCAGGCACCCAAACCACGACGACGAAGAGGCAGCATGATTTTGTAAGAATCAGTGACAACATCTTTTCAGACACCAACAGACGACGCGGCGACTGGAATCCAACGTCGACCCTGCAGACGCACTCCACTGTGCTCGAACTGTCCCGGCTATCAGCCCGATTGGGGTGTCAAGAACAGCACGAAAACACCAGCGAGTGTAACACAGCCTTCCACGATCCCCCGCAAAGACAAAGATCCCACTGTGTAGCCTTAACAGACCGTCGGGTACAAGTGCTGTTAAGCGAGTAGCACCTATGAAGGCCGGCACGGCACACGAGGGGGTGGCTGGCCAGCACCACCACGCCCGGCCGCCAATGTTTCCCCAGTGGCGATGTTTACACACCGCACCAGGAACCCATGTTCGAGGCCGAGTCGACCTAGGGGAAGCCCAGGACCAGTTCAGATCATCGTCACTGTGGTGCTGGCCGTGAGCGGGAAGCCAACTCGGGTCGCTGTGTTCGCGCGGTTTGCGTTCTGGCATTTGCGCCGTGGCCGCACGGTGATGTGCTCCCTGTCAGGATTCATTAGCACGGGAGGCGCGGGAACTGGCGGCCAATTGAGTGCACAATTCAGCCCCTCGGTGTAGCTGCACCTGTCAATCTGATTGCTGCTAAAATACGAATACTCCGTGTATTTTATCACCGACAAGGCAATGATTGCACGGTCGGCGGTCACCGTCTCTGCGTCTCCATGGCGATAGGCAACAGCCAATAAGCGCCGTGGTATTCGGTGACTCTCGGTGACAATGTCTACCCGCCCAATATTTCTCTGCATATTCCACCCAAGTTCTCCTTTGCGATAGTGACGTGTTGCCTCAACGGGCTCCTCCCACAGTTTAAAAGAATGGACATTGAAAAGAATCTGAAAAAAAACCTCCCGAGACAGCTTATACAACCACAACAATGATTTCAACACCAACGTGCCTGTGTTTCAATTATCACAGAACTGCAAACGCACAATCCCAAGAACGGAAAACTAATGAACAAAGCTCGTAATCATTTTTTTTATCAACCTCAATAAATCTGAGGTACAATGGGACCAAAAAAACTGGAAAGGCAAAAAGCGCGTGGCAGCGTCTCTAAGGGCACCGTGGTTTCTATGTCGTTTTACCGCGACATGAATTATACACGGAGAGAGCAAGACCACTCTCCGGCCTGCTATCACACTGTACCGCGCGACAGCTGGAGGAGCAGGCTGCATCATCCCAGCGATTGCAGAATGCTCGCGCACTCAGATTGCACGGTTCGATCGAGCGAATCCTGCAGCTGCCTGGGACCGCCAAAGCGAGCTGTCTGCAGAAACGGATGATGATGACGACGACGATTCTATATCGCACAGGGTGCAACAATAACGCACGTTCAGTTTAGCAGCGTGTCAGACGGCACGAGCGCACGACCAAGGTCATGGCAAGGTGTGGGCACCGCGTAGCACTGCCAAGACAGCCGACGCCAGTGGTGGCCCTGGCCGACCCGGCAGGCAATGCGCCTCGTCCTGTCCTCGCATTGTGTGAGCGTGCCAATGTTTGAGGTCAGTTACGATCCCGACCAACGCCCGTGGGCTCTCAGCAGGCGTCCCCCCGCATGCTTTGGATACCCTTCTCTCCTGGCTGGAGGGCGTCCCAGGAATGGGAGCGAATTGTTGGCCTGGCCAGCTTTGTTAACGTTGTCGCTCGTCTGTGTGTGCGGGGCTTTTGCTTACTGGCTTATCCAATTCTACGAAGAGACAAGCATCCATTATCATCGTGGGATATTAGAAAGCCGATGGCCACGTCAGAGTACTGGGCGAGAATTGCCGAGACCTTGGGTTCCAAGTCTTAATTTCCCCCCCCACTCGAGATTAATTCGAGTTAACACCTACGAAATGTGTCATCATTGAACCTCAATCGAGAAGTCATCGTAATCATGAAATTAAATTAAATAGTTAGTTTAAAAGTAATTACGTTATAGTGCTTCTAGTTTTCATACTGACTTTTAATAGAGTTAGGACGACACATTCATCTGCTACCACCTGTCAGATACATTTCGCTGCACATAACTGAATCTCATCACTGGAAATCACTGTCAAAAAAACTTGTCGTTGCTACGTGTGATGTTGTGCAGAACTGCTGCCAAAAAACGGCCAGCTTCAAATCGGCGAGATCAAAGGTTGCACGTGAACGCCATGCGAACGGCAAAGAGCTGAGCTTAACCCCACAGATGAGGGTCGCGCTGTAGCCCCAGGGAGACTGGTGTCCCTGACCCAACTAATGAGCAGCTCCTAGTAACCCAGGCCAGTGACCCTCGGGTGAGATATCCCTCAACTTACACTGCAGAGGAATGGCAAATCTGTTCATCGACAGCATATACAGTTACTGTTTGTGGACAGCAGTTTGCAGTGGTTAGCTGCCCTTGGGCCATGCATCTGGAGATCTGAGTTTAATTTCCAGTCAAGGCCGATTACAGTGGCGAGGTGTCCTGACGCGGAAGTGGGCGCCCTCCTCCAACAACCCGCACCTCCGATTAGCACGGTTGGCTCCCAACAGTGCGAAAGAGGTTCAACATACGTAACAAAACCCCATGATCGATACCATGTGGTGAGGCCTTCATCCAGCAGGATATTTGCCAATGGCGGTAAATGATAATTATTATAATTATATATTGTGTTTATACATGCAACATGTCAGTTCATTATCTGCCAGCTGTTGTAATCGGCCGATCACACGGTCTGTTGCCGATGATGGCAACACCTTGCCGAGACCCCGTGCTGGGTGCGAACGAGCTCTCTGTGATTGTGGGCGAGAGGACGTCGCACCACGGCCAAAGATAGCTGCCCTGCAGATTGTTGACGACGGGAAAAGGGGTGGGGGGGGGGAGATTTTGGTAATGTTAGGCTTATAGGCATTTACATTTACCAGCCAATTTCTACAAAGGTGTAAT